ATTTAATGGGAGCTAAGAGAGTATTAAAAGAAAACGTGCTAGGTACGAGGTATTTAATTTTATTTTAGAAGATAGATACAAAAATTATGTACTTTCTCCATCTCATCATCAAAGGTTAACGTCTACATACTCTTCCGTAGTTCCATATACACCGGTGGTCGGCGGAGATCGATCCATTTAAACAAGGCATGCACTTTCCATGCATTTTCTCGGGCCTTAGCTTGCGCATGCATATATATCTATATACTATCGCTCTATATATACATTCCCTTGTAGACATTTATAGATCATCGGCTGTGTTTGTGGCCTTTTTTTTTTATACATATCTTTATCAGCAGTTTAGATCACATACAGAAATAAAAATAATTAAAGGAGCTCGCTCATCATCAGCTCTTTGATCGAGTATATTTATATAGCGATCGATATATATAGTGGAAGGCATGCAATTCAACGACATGATGCAATCCCTCAACAATCATCACTTGTTGTTTATGTTCAACCGCATGCAGCCGGCGGCGCAGATTGGTTGTAAGCGCAGAGGCGTAGCTATAAGTACGCCGCCGTTACATCTCCGCCGCCGCAAGGCTGAAGTGAACTCCGCCAAGTGTATGTGTATACTCCCACCCATAAGGTACGTACGTGCATGCGTAGGTTATACGACCCAATCTGCGCAGATTTAAATTCACTAATTTTTTGTTCGAGCTAGCTTAGCTTGCTCATGGCCGAAAATGATATGTACACATTAATACGATCGTACTACGTAGTATTTTGTGTGCGTATACACTTTTTGGTAATATAACTAACTGCACGTGCGCATCTCTAATTTGAGTTCATGCCTCATCTTCTTTAGCGCTACGCTTAGTTCTTGCCTGGGAATTTAATTACGAGTAATTTTTTCTAGGGAAAATTCCCGAAATAGGAGCAAAAAATTTTAAAATTCTAAAATATGACTTTCATGTTTGTATTCTCAAAATAGGAGTAATTACTGCCAGATTTGAAAAATATTGTCATGTTTAAAGTCTGGTACTACCAAAACATGGCAGTAAATAGTTCTATTATGGGAATAAAAATATGGTAGTCCTATTTTGTAATTTACAAACGTTTTTAGTTCTATTTAAGGTAATTTCTCTTTTTTCTATTTTTTACTATAAATTTCTTCTTTTTCTATTTAGTCAACTCTCCTATCTAGCTAACATTTGAGCCTAGTATAACTTTTAAATCCAATCCAATTCAAATTTCTGAATCACCTCAGATTTCTCGATCGCTAAATATGAGTTGTTACACTACGTATAGTAGTATCATTTGTCACACAAAAATACTAACTGAATTGTATTTTGGGATCGATAATATATGGAGTAATAGAAAAATAATTTTAGTAGTACATAAAAAGGATATATATCAAACAGCATGAGACCAGTCATTCATTCATAATCTTCTTCACCCAATCTCTCTGGCATCTCCATATCCTTCCTTGATTCCGCTTATTTTTTCTTCTTTTTTTCTTTTTTCTTCAATTATTCTCTTTTCCTTCATCAAAATATTAAGAATTTAACTAAAATTTTGTTCTTCATCTTCAAAATAAATCTAGCTAGGTTTTTTCTTCTTTTTCATCAATTCAAAATCGAAGTTTTTTTAATCTAAAATAAAAATTCATACTCCGTACTTTATACTAAGAGGGGAAAAGGACTTCGGGCCCCAGTAAAATAGAAAAACTTTGTTTGTTTTAATCTACTACGTATAACTATTTTACTTGTACTCCAATTATTATAAAAAATATATCAAAATTCATAACTTTATAACACCAATATTGCATATCTAAAAATAATAAGTTAGAAGTTTGATATAACTATTTTGTTGATACTTTGAATCCTGCAAAAAAAAATATCAATTCATAATTGTTTATTATTATGACTACACTTATATTGCACGTATAAAACTAAAACAATAATTTGAAGATACGGTTACTAGAGGTTTTTAGGCTAATTATATTTTTTTCTAAATACACGGAAATTGCATGTATAGTGCAATTTCTTGATGAAATAAACGGACATTTTTTCATTGGTTTTGCCGAAGAGAAAATTCTTGCCATCATTTTCTAAGCTATCACTTTTATACTCCCTATATTGTTTTATTCTTTATGCTAAAGTTTGTGCAGTTGAGAATCATTTTTTACAATACACACTATTAATTTGCATTTTTTTGTTTTATATTTATAGGTACAATTTTAATAAATATTCTTTGGCCAAATTATATCTTAAAAATAATGGTCAATGTGTGAAGAATACGGAGGTACTTTAAATGTTTATATTATTTGGAGAACGTGATTATAAAAATACGGAGTAATTACTTGAACACGTGCATCTTTTGTTGTTTAGTACCTTCATTTTTCTTTTTCCTGACCCACCGCAATCCTCGGAATAATTGTTCTACAGACAAAGATCTTTTTTATGAGACGTGCAATATACTACCTCCGTTCTTAAATAAGTGTAACAGTCAACATTTCACATTTGCCGAGACACAACTTTGACCATTAATATATACTTCGTATAACTCACTATTAGTAAAAAAAATTAAAAAAAATCAGATTTCGAAAATTTACAATGACACAAATTTAGTAATATTTTTTTCAAATACGGAGTATATATACTAATACATCAATAAATAAAATGTAGTCAAAGTACAACATGTGAATCGTGTAAAATTTGTAATGTTGCACTTATTTAAGAACGAAGGTAGTATAATCCGAAAATGAAAGCAAGTTAGGCTTTTAACCATTGATGTTTGTATTCTCTCTTATATCCACTTTTGTACCCACCAATGTTTGTGTTTTTTTTTTTTTGCGAATTCCTTCACAGACAAAATAAGACAAAAAAATAGCTTTCGCAGAGGTGGGTACGTACAAAGAGCATGGTTGTTTAGCAATTGAGTCGTACACTAGATCAGATAATACGTGAATAAGCAACTTAGACCTAAAAAATCAGACATCCAGATCACTCGAGCTTTAAACAAATCAGATCAAGTTATGGCAGTTACAAAATACACATCGAGCCTATCACACAAGACCAAACTCAAACAGATTCGATCAAATCAAACCAGACTAGACCAAATGAAATAATAATCAATCCCAGGGGCGTAGTCAGGAGTAAGAGTTGGCTTGGACCGGTACAAAATTTTTTTACAGATAAATTTTTACACATAAATTTTTACATTAAAAATATAGGCAATATTAAAATTTGGGTTGGGCCATGAGCCCATGACTGGTTGGCCACCCCTCCACCTCGATCTGATCAATCCAATTAAAAAATTCTAACTACTCTTAGGGAGTGTTTGCAACTGCTTCTGCTTAAATAAAAGCACTTTTGGAGATGTAAGGAAAAAGTGATTAGTAGGAAAAGTTGATAGTGTTTGAGAAAAAAGTGATTTTGAAAAGTAAAAGTTGATAGTGTTTGGTAAAATAAGTGCTTTTTGTGTAATATAAAGGGGAAAAGCACTTTTCACACGCAAGTCGAGAAAAAATTAAAATTGGTAGTGTTTGGTAAATAAGTGTTTTTTTAAGCCAAAAGCTGAGAAGTGCTTTTTTTAAGTGATTGCAAACACTCCCTTATAGTACGTAAACAATCAAAACTGGAACGTAAACAATTACGAAGTACTAATTTATTCAAATATTGGGGAAATTCCAAAAATATGGCTAAATGAAAATTAATTGAAAAAATAGGAGTATAACTTTAAAATTACCTAAATAGGACTACCTTTCCAATATTACAATTTCTTTGTTTTAATACCACCCGTATTTCATTAATAATTAAAACATAAATATAATAAAATAACTTTATTTATAATAAAAATGAAAAAAAATAAAAAACAAGGAAAAACTATTAAATAAAATTAAAAGAATAGAAAAATAAAAAAAAATGTAAAACTAAAAAACTTTAAAAAAAAATATATAAATTGAAAATTGTAGTTGTCTGATTTGGCCTCAACAACCTCCCAACACAATCAAACCAATTAAGGGAATGTTTGCAAATGCTTTTGCTTAAAAAAAGAAATTATTGAAGTTATTTTGGAAAAAGTGATTAGTAGTAAAAGTTGATTGTGTTTGAGAAAAAAATGATTTTGAAAAGTAAAAGTTGATAGTATTTGATAAAAATGTGTAATACAAAAAGTAAAAAGTATATTTCGCACAAAAGTCGATAAACGTCTTTTTAGGTAGAAATGGTCACTTGAAAACACTAATTTTAGTTTTCTTTAAACGAATCGCCGAGAAGCACTTTTTTTAACGTACTACTTCCGTCCTGAATTGATTTGCAAACTTGACTTTTCTTAGTCAAACAATTTCATTTTATTTTCTTAATTAGGATGTTAATTTTTAATTATCTTCTAATTTGGAGTTTGTAACTTTAAAGAGAATTTAATGTAGTTTCTGAATATGTAAATTTTAACTATTAAAAATTGAGTTAATTATCAATAATGGGATTTGACTTTTATTATTGATTGACCAAAAAATATTGACTTTGCAAAATAATTTGGGACGGAGGGAGGGAGTATTTCAAACACGCTAAGTTGTTAGGTAAGCCGGTAATTAAATGCAACTTGAGTCGACTTGTAACCGAAACTGGAAACAGTGTGGTCCTTTGACCTAGTACGTACTGTTTCCAAACTGAGAACAATGTGGTCCCGAACATGAGTAATGTACTGGTCTGTTACCGGGATGTCCGATCAATTCTCGATCGATCATCCATGCACAGGGGCGGACCCAGGAAGTTTGTCTTGGGAGGGCGGTAACTTAAACAAATATTTTTTGGGAGGGCGAAAATTATTTTTTATTATATATATACACTAAAAAATTTTGTTGTTGGGGGGCGGTCGCCCCCCTGGATTTGTACTACGGTCCGCCCCTATCCATGCACATAGGTAGCAGCTTTTCCTTGCAAATTAATGAAGTTGTACGAAAACGTGCTGCTGCTAATGAAGCTAGCTACTTTTTCATGAATTGATGATAGGGGCTTGCGGAGATGTGATGCAGGATGGAATGATGAGTTAAAGTATGAAGAGGAAAGAGAGAAAGTGGGGAAGGTCCTGAAGCAGCTCCAAGAGGATGAGTTGGCAGTTCTACGGGTTATAGATGTAATGCAGCGGATGTGCATCGACCACCATTTCCAACACCTCATCGCATCCATCTTGCACATACAATATACACACTGCACCTTGTCTGGATCTCCTGCCACTACTCCTAAAGACGACGATGATGATGATCTTTATCACATTTCTCTTCGTTTCAGATTACTTAGACAAAGTGCCTATTATGTCCCCTCAGGTACCTACACCGGCATCTTTATTTCACGGGGATTTGGCTTTGAACCACACTTTGTCGGTGATGTTGGACTTACATCTCTTGATTATGTGTTTGAATGCAAAATCAAAGTTTTTTAATTCAAAAGAAGTGCAAAGTCCAATATTACCAAAAAGTTGGGTGCAAAATCAAAGTCTCCCATATTTCAATCGACCTTTGTCCCAAAAATTTCGTCATATTGACTTTTCTTGGTTTACAAGATTTGGATAATGATTTTAATTATTATATTTGTATATAATTTATAAATTTTATACTTTTATGAAGAAAATTAAATAAGGGAAATTTTAATATATTTTTCATATTCAAAATAATTTCTTCTTTAAAAATGTCAATAAGCAAAGTGGATTGTGATTGACCAAGAAAAATCAATGAAATAAAGCTAGCTAGCTTATTAGTCTTTCGAATTTTACTCTCATTAATTTAATTTCCCCGGTCAAAATCAAATTCTTAAATATACATGATTAATGTTGTCATCTATGAATTCTCTTTTTTTCATGTGAAATATATATAATGAAGATGCTGTGTTTGGCAAGTTCACCGATGAGAAGGGAGAGTTTAAGAAGGAATTAAGAGAAGACATAAAGGGGCTTGTGGCACTGCACGAAGCATCCCATTTATGCATAGGAGGAGAAGACGACGCCATTTTGGAGAAAGCTGCAAGGTTTAGTACTGAATGCCTGCTGGCTGCGGCGGCAAAAAAGGAAGGCGATGATGATGATGGTGAGATTCGAAGAACCTTAGAGTACCCTTATCATAAGAGCTTGGCCAGGTTTACGGCCAAAACCTTTGTTGAGAAGATGAGGGTTGAACACGAATGGGAAGCCACCTTGGCCAGCTTTGCCACTTTGGATCACGCCATGCTGCAATCACTGTATGAAGATGAAATCCACCAAGTTCTCCAGTGGTGGAAAGGGCTCGGGATAATGGAAGAGTTGGCGAAGAACAGACAGTTCAAGTGGTACATCTGGTCATTGACCATCAACCCTTATTCCCATTTATCCACAGAGAGGGTGGAGCTCACCAAGCAAGTCTCCCTTGTATACCTTATTGATGACATTTTTGACGTTTATGCCTCGCATCATCAGACCACTCAATTTGTACAAGCAATTTGCAGGTATACACATATCTTAGATCGGATCGATCACATTCCGTAAGCATATATCATTAGTAACTAATTTAATTAAGCTACACTTTTGAAAGTATACCTATACATACAAATACATGTACTCCATCCGTCCCAAAAACAATTAACTTCTCACTTTCCTTAAACGAATGCCCCAAAATTAACTTCACACTTCAATATACTTTTCTTGTTTGGCAAATTATTTACATCAAAACAGTGTCAAACAGTGTTTAAACAGTGCCAGATAGTGCCAAACAGTGCACTCCACAGTAAAGTCAAATTTATTTTCTTAATCTATGTGAATGTCAAACTGTGAAGTTATTTTTGGGACGGAGGGAGTATATAGAATAAAAATGAGGTGAGAGTTTCCTAAATAACATTCAATCTCACTTACTTCCTTGCTCCAAATTGATTTTCAAAGTTAACATTTTTTTAATGAGTTTTTGCCACTTTAAGTCCTCTAACAATTATGTTATTGACATTTTTGGTACTCGACCTTGAGTTTTTTCACTTTTAGTCCTTCGACTATTGTGCGACATACACTTTTGGTACCCGTCTTTGAAAATTTTCACATTTGGTCCTTCGACTTTCATAAAAGTAACACTTTTGATCCTTCAACTATTATAATAATTACATTTTTATTCCTCCACTTATAGTGTCAAATTCAAGTGGAAGGACTAAAAGTGTCAATATTATAATACTCAGGGGACTAAATATGAAAAAACATTGATGTCAAGGACTAAAGTGTCTCTCACCCAATAGTCGAGTTCCAATTTATTCACTTAATAATTAGGATATAAATTTTAATGAAATTCTAATTTGAATTTTGCAATATGTAAATTTTACTAGTAATTATTAAAGTTGAATTAATTATCAAAGGGGGAGAATTTAATTTAACAATGACCAAAAAATGTTACTCCCTCCGTCCCTAAATGTTCTTCCAATTGCGGATTACGAAGGTTGACCGACGATAAAGTTAAATGATCCCTGTGAAAACTCGGATTATTTTTAGTAAATAAAATTTACATATTCAGAAACTACATTAAACCCGCTACAAAGCCTGCAAAAAATAATTCAACTTTTATAAAATTTTGATATAAAAAGTAAGAGTTTAAGAGTGATTTAAGTTGACCCTCAATAAGCGAAATGGAAGTTCTTTTAGGGAGTGTTTGCAATCACTTAAAAAAAAGCACTTCTCAGCTTTTGGCTTAAAAAAACACTTATTTGACAAACACTACCAATTTTTACTTTTTCTCGGCTTGCGTGTGAAAAGTATTTTTCCCCTTTCTATTACACAAAAAGCACTTATTTTACCAAACACTATCAACTTTTACTTTTCATAATCATTTTTTTCTCAAACACTATCAACTTTTCCTACTAATCACTTTTTCCTTATATCTCCAAAAGTGCTTTTTTTAAGCAGGAGCAGTTGCAAACACTCCCTTAGGGACGGAGTGAGTACTTTGTTAATCCATTTGAGAAAGATGAGGCATTTTAATTATTAGCATCCACGTCCTACTATTAATTAATTAATTAATAATCCAAATTAAATGACATGCAGATGGGACATTTCCGTGGCAGAGGGACTGCCGGATTATATGAAGACGTGTTTGGCCGTACTTTTTGATACAACTAGTGAAATCAGCAATCATGTTTTAAAAAAATTTGGCTGGAACCCTAGTAACCAGTTAAAATTGCAGGTAATTAACTAAGCATGCAAGAACGTAACAACTGACGCACTATTTAATACTAGCTCCGTCCCAATTTGATTTGAAGATTTGATTTTTCTTAGTTAAACAATTTCATTTTATTCGCTTAATTAGATTGTCAATTTTTAATTATTTTTTAATTTGGAGTTTGCAACTTTGAAAATATTTTAATATAGTTTTGGAATATGTAAATTTTACTTATTAAAAATTGAATTAATTATCCATAGTATTCGATAGGATCATAGGGAGGATTGACTTTTATTACTCCCTCCGTCCCACTTTAAGCATCCCACACAATTTATGATGTTTGACTGACCATAAAGTTAACTGATCCCTGTCATTAGTAGAATTATTTTTAGTAAATAAAATTTATATATTCAGAAATTACATTAAACCCGCTACAAAACCTGCAAAAAATAATTTAAATTTCAAAAACTTTTGATATATAAAGTAAAAGATTAAGAACAATGCACGTTGACCGGAGAATAGTGTACGGGAACCTTTAAATTAAATGGGACGGAGGGAGTATTAGTTGACCAAAAAATGTTGACTCTACAAAACAATTTGGGACATATAGAGTATATATGTTCACCATATCAAATATGCATATATAAAATACGTAGTACTTCCTACATTATACTTCATATGGCATGCATGTATGCAGTGGGAAAGGTTGTGTAGAGCATTCATAAGTGAAGCAAAATGGTTGAGAAGGGGGGATTCGATGACCATAGGGGCTGATGAGTACTTGAAAAATGGGATTGTGACAACAGGAATTCCCTTGATTGCCACCACCGCCTTCTTTATGTTAGGACATGGTGGAGCCGAAGAGCCCACCGGAACAGAAGCTATCCAGCCCATTGTCACTTCATTAGCAGCCATTCTTCGCCTCTTAGATGACCTTGATGCCACTCTGGTACGTAGGAGTCGTCGTCTTTGAATTATTATACCCTTTCTATTTTGTTAAATAAGTGCAACAATCAACTTTTCATATTTGTCGATGCACAACTCAATTAATAATTAATGTATGTACTGCGGGCAGGGTGAGAAACAAAATGGAAAAGATGCATCGTATCTGGAGTATTACTTAAGGGAACACCCAGGCATGTCATTGGATGATGGAAGAGAAATGGTAATGAACATGGTTACAGAACAGTGGAAGCTAGTCAACAGGGAATGCCTCTTTTCGACCACCATCCCATTTTCGTTCAGGCAGTCTTGCTTAACTGGTGCCAGAATGATTCCAATGATGTACAACTACACTGACCGCCAATGCCTACCCATCCTGCACCGCCAAATCATGTCCATGCTTTCTACTGCTGATGAAAAAATCACTTCCTCTGCTTTTCTTGGCTTGCTTCGGACTTAAAGAATGTTGGATTCAAAACATGCCGCGCATGCCTACAACAAGTTAAGATAAGGACGTCGTTACGTTCCTTATTGGGGCAGACAAGTCTTCAACCTAAGGCGCTCATACCATACTTGTATTATATATATACACCATATATGTGTGCATGTGTTGTGTTTGTGTGTGTATCAAAAAAAGTTGTATTTCATACTCCATCGTTTTATGCAAGAGTAGTAATAAATGTGCATCTTTGGCATTTTTCTCTATCGGTTTAATAAAATAAAGGTTAAATTATTGTACTAGTTTTCAATTGTTTTTTATTGATTCTCAAAAAAAAAATTGCTTTTTATTGTAAATTACTTATATTAAGAAACCAGAATTCAGGTAAATTACATCTAGACAAACAGTCACACTCTGATCCCTATTCCTTAACTTAATTACAGATTTAGAGTTAATCGTCTTCCAAAAAGTAAAATAAATCGTTGAATCAAAAGAGACAACAAAGTAGATATAATTGAAATAAAAAATCTTCCAAGGAATAGGAGACAACTAGAACTGCATCGTGAAAGAGATCGAGAAGCTCAACAAATACCAAGGCGGGTATGGTATCCAAGACCCACTTCCTTCCCATTTTTCGGATCATCTATTGTCATTCCTTCGCCCACCTAATCCACTCATATTTTTTCCTCTCATTTTCTCCTTCTCTTCTAGTCTCCCGCACCACCCTCAATATTACGTGTTGGCATAATTTCTCATGAATCCTCTCTTGCACGTACCCATATCCGGAACCTACCCTTTTGCTTCCCTGCCCCTAGATTTTATGTCACAGTGGCACCCTGATTCCCCCTGTCTCTCACGCTTTCCTTTCTTTACCTGCAGACTCATCCCGTATCTGCATGAGCCACTCATTACCCCCAATTGGTCGAATCTCCTCACTCCCGCTCTGAGCCATGGTCTGAATGGTTTGACCAGTTCCTTTGCTCATATTCCAACGGGCAAGAAATACTTGTCTACATGACCAATAATTCTGCACACAAAACAAAAGCTAGGTAGTTTCTCATATTTAAAATCCACCCAGAATCACTCTGATCCGATCCCCATTACCCTTTTGAAGCTTTGCCCCATTCTTAATTAAAAGGTTTGCCTATATATTCAAGTAAGTTCTGATTCTCATATAAGCGCTACAACTACCTTCCAATAGATTGTCACCGATTGTAACAAATTTGCTTAAAAATTTCCCAACTCGCTGCGCTTCTTCTAGCTCTTTAGATTCTTCTATTGCCACAACTATGTAATCAAATTTTGAATCTAAAGACCGTAGGATTTTTTCAACCACTCGATCGTCTTTAATTTCTTCTTCATTTCTTCTTATTTGAGTGACGACGGTTTGGATTCTTGAGAGATAGTCATCAATGGATTCCAAAGAGTTCATTCTAAATGATTCAAACTCACTTCGAAGAGTTTGGAGTCATACTTTCTTCACCTTATCTACTCCTTTGAAAGAATTCTCCATTATCTCCCAAGCTTCTTTGCTTGTAGTTGCACACGTCACCTTTGTGAACATAGCTTCATCCAAAGCTTGATGGATGATGGAGAGCGTCTTTTGATCTCTCTTTTTAATATTCCTAAAGGCATTTTTTGAGCTTGATTTAAAGCATTGATGTCCTCGGGTTCCTCTGTCACGCCCCGGACCTACCCGGACACATCAACAACCCGCCGTACAACATGAATAGTCAACCATAGTCAACCACATCCATATTATACAAGGCGTCATGAATATCATTCACACATAAGTCATCCATAAACATACATAATAAACAATTCAATACGCAGCGGAAACATAGTTTGAAATCAAATGCCATATAGGGCAAACATGAGCACGCAGGCTCTAATTAAAATATCCATGAGCAAATTTATTAATGTTTCAAACAGAATGGAGGAAGCACAAACCAAGTCTTCTCTCCGGGGAATCACTCAATCAACGAGCACAGGATGCAAGCTCTAGCCTCAACCTGAAATGGTGGTGAGACACCCCCGAAGGGGTCAGTACTCTATAGGGCTATAAAGTACTGGTGTGGATGGCATCTAATAGATATACAACAAGTATTTCAAACACAAAACTCTCAAATAGGGTGATGATATAATATGGTTGTAACCCTAAGTTACCCCGTTTGAAAATATACTTACTTTATATAAAAGTCAAGTAGTCGGCCCGTAGGCCCATGTTCATTTAGAAATCACCATTCCCATTCCCCGTGACTATACGCCACGACAACTCATACACTCCAACCCTAATACATGACATTGTATTCTAGAGCTTGGCTCTATCACATCACCATACAATTCATGTCACTTGGGTCAATTTCCTTACCTTGCATTCTAGAGCTCGGCTCTATCACATCACCGTGCAAGCCCTAGAGCTCGGCTCTAGTTATACAATACATAGACTACAAGTCTACCACCTTACCATGCATCCTAGAGCTCGGCTCTATTACATCACCATGCACTAAAGTCCAATTCATAAGCAAACATATGCCTAGAATTGACATATCATTAAACTACCTTGGGTCATCCTTAAAGACTGCCCATAACTTAACCTTAGCTTCATACTAAGTCATTATATACACTTGAAGTATATTCAAGTGCATTGCATACAATCCAATCCCTATGATCAATTCTATCAACAATTTCCAATAATCACTAACTAGTATTTCAATACTATTAAGATTATTGTTATCATACAAATATTCTCATTTTGTAATTCTCTACATATTTATAATTGTGTGGCAGCAACTTAAGTATTCAATCTCAATACATAAATATTCATTTATGTATCCACATAATTCATACATGAGTAAAATGCCTATTTCACAAAATAGTTCATTTATAACTCATTTAATCTCATATTATTCATACAACCTCAAATCATTTCCAATTTCATTCTTTGGCAACTATATTAATACTTCATCAATATTTAATCATCATAATCCATGAAAAATTATGATTTAGGCATTTAGGTAATCTCATGCTTAACCTACAAGTTGTAAGCAATTAGATGTCGATCCTCACCTTAATTAAGCTTTAAACTTTTCCTTCTTGATCCAATGGTCAAAGCTTCGGTCAAGGTGGACTAATAACTGATTCCTTGCTTAAAAATGAGTGTTAAACATCCTCCTCAAAGTGCTAGCTCAACCCCTAACCGTTGATAGGAAAACAGCCCCTAGAATGGGTGTTTTCCGGCGAACTCGTTTCCTAGTTTTTCAAAGATTTGCTCTAGGTTAGTATCTAACCTTTACATCAATAAAATAACTTTATAAGGACATATTATACACTTGGAGTAGTGTATAATAGTTCCACCAATCGTTCATATCATTTGGAAAATGAAAAGGAAGGTTTTGGGGTTAAAACTCACTTTAGAGGAGCAAATCCATTTCTGCGAGGTTGTGTTTTCTTCCAATGATTTGGAAGCCTTACACTACTCCTATTGATGCAAACCAGACCTTGAAGGATTCCTCTTCTTGAGCGCTTTCTTTTGGCACCTTACACGCCTTATTTGGATTAGTATAGCTCGAGATACGAACCAAATAACACCAACACTCCCACTGCTCGAGTTTACACACAGCAGTTCACTCCAGCTCGATTTTCGTATGATAGACTCTCCCCTCTCGATCAGAAACCACTCCCTTATTGTCCAAAAATAGACTAGGTGGGGCTCCCTCTTTACTTCCTTTTTCAAGTTCAGTCCCCAAAGTCAGCTGTGGCCGCCCCCTAACATTTCTTTTCTTGTCTTGCAGGTGGAAGGAAGAGATGGGGCGTAGCATGGTGTTCCCCAATTATTTTGGGAGCAAAATATCAACCAATACTTCCAAAAGAGGAAAGATGGGTCCTATTGTTTTATCTTTTGTCAAAAGATGTCTTTTTGTACTCATTCTAATTTATTAGACCAAGTCAACTCCCTACATCATATTATTGATCTCCAATATGTGTAGGATCTTTTTTTTTTTTTTTTTGGAGGGGATCAAACCAAAACCTCCCAAAAATTACAAGCTAAAAATTTAGTAGAATCTGAAAAAACTGAGACCAAGCTTTACATAAAAAATTAAAGATATCTAAGAAAGGCAAGTCCCAATTTATCGGCAATTAAGGCCCGTCTTATAACACCCGGAAGCTGAATAGGTCGAAATAGGACAGTGAACTCATCTGCAGCAGGAAAGCATCTGGACATCAAATCTGCCGGTCTGTTTGCTTCACGATAAACATGATAAAAATTCAGACCAAAACCAATCTTCCACATATTCAACTCCTCCGTGAGTTTTCTCCATCGACCAGCAAGCATTCTTCCTTCAATCATATCAATAGTATTTCTGGAATCCGACTCCGCTTGAAAGTCCCTGTAGCCATGAGCAATAGACCAGGAAATCGCAGTGTAAAAGGCCAAGAGCTCCGCCTCAGCAACGGATCCGGCTGAGATTCGGAAATGAAGAGCAAAAATGAGGTCGCCGGACTGTGCTCGCATCACCGCCCCACCAGAGGATGCATCGGAGGAGAAAGATGCATCAATATTCAACTTCAGATGCATGTCAGGTAATTTCCAACTCACTATCTGAAATTTTGGCCTCTTACATCGAAAACTCTTCGAAATGAGTTCTTCTTCTAACAAAATATCATCAAATTGAACCATCTTAGTTTTCTGAAGTTTAGCCTCGGACCAGTCCTGTGTGAACATCCTAATTTGATGAATAATTGACTGAGGCGACGACGGCTGTGATAAGTCACCCCAAATCATCTTGGCATATACCTTCCATATATGCCATGCTATAATGCCAGCCAAATTGTGCTTAAAACTGTCCATTACAGATTTCGAGCCAGCCTCAAGCCACCAAGATATTAGGACCTGTCGAATAGAACTCTGGCCAGCTGGGGTGGGTATATGAAAGATACCCATAAAGTAATCCCAAATCCCCTTAACATGCTTACAGTGGAACATGACATGATTCATAGAATCAGATTCATTTCTGCATAGAGGACAAATAGTGGGATAAATAGTCATATGAAATCTACCTAAATTGTCGGGAAAGGCAGAAATCTATGAAGGATCTTCCATTGAAACAACTGAATTTGACTGTATTGATGCTTGTGCCAGGTGTGTTTAAAAGAAAAAGTCTGTGATTTACGCGATCTGACCTCTTTGAAAGCAGAAGACAAGGAGAAGACTCCATTATGCTCAGGTAACCACACATATTCACCTTCAGAATCAGTTGATATATATGACATTCCAATATTGTGAATTCTACAAATCCTTTTCCAAATGGCAGAGTCAATACTTCTGGGGAGCATATCAGATCCCCTAGGGTATCTTGAATGACAAAATTGGGCCCATAGTGACTTGTTACATTTCCACTTCCACCAAAGCTTTAGAGAAAAGGCTTTTTCAGTATCAGCCAGTGCATGAACACCCAATCCACCTTCCTCATAAGGAAAGCAAACATTTTTCCAACTCATCCAATGGAACTTGTTTTTATCAGCCCTGGAACCCCAAAGGAAGTGTGCCATTTTCCTTTCCAAAATCCGAATAACAAATTTAGGGAAAGTATCAACCGCTAAAACATGAAGAGGAATGGAGTTTAACACATGCTTTATCAGTACAAGCCTCCCACTTTGATTTAAATGTCTTTGTTTCCAGGTTGATAGCCTTTTATCAAAAGCTTGAATGATGTTTTGACAATATTTGGTTTTGTTATTACCCTGTGCAGGACTGCTCCCAAGTATCTAAGAGGCAAATTGGTCTGATTCATGCCCAACAGCCTTTCCATCCTTCTTATCCTTACCAAGGAAGTTTTGCCACATACAAAATTACTTTTGTTGAAATTAATTGCTTGACCAGAAGCTCTTTGATACAGACCCAAGAATTTCTTAAAATTTTGTAAAGATCTAGCATCCCCATTAATGAAAATGAGAATATCATCAGCAAAAGACAAATGGGACACCAGAAAACCACACTGACCAATCCAATAGGGTTTGATTTTATTATCAGCCATTAGATCTTTCAAACCTCTAGATAAGGCCTCTGTAGCAAGGATGAAAAGAAAGGGAGAGAGGGGGTCTCCCTGCTTGACCCCCCTACAAGGCTGGAAAAAACCTTTAGGCACACCATTGATGATAACTGAGAAATAGGTGGCCTTGAGATGACCCATCACCAAAGATATGAATGAATCTGAGAAGCCAAATTTCGATAGGATGGATTTTAGGAAAGTCCAAGAGAGCCTATCAAAGGCTTTTGCCATATCTAATTTGATCACCAAATTAGTTCCCCGTATTTTCTTGTCAATGGAATTAATCATCTCTTGTGCAACAAGAATGTGTTCCGAAATATCCCTCCCTTTCATGAAACCTGCTTGTTCAGTAGAGATAATCCTAGGTACAAACCTTGATTCTAAAGGAATGTGATTTCCCAAAAAGAAATCTTGAACAGCTCTAACCACATCCCAGCCCACAATATGCCAGCATTTTCTAAAGAAAACTCCATTATAACCATCAGGACCAGGGGCTCCATTCTTATTTAAATTCCAGACTGCTTTCTTAATTTCATCAAAAGTAGGTAGCTGCATAATCATGTTATTGTCACTATCATGCACTAACTGTGGAATGTGTTGCAGAAGCTCCTCCACATCATGTATAGGTTCCTCAGAAAATATGTTGGAGAAATAGCTCTCTGCAGATTTACCAATATCATCAGGTTCAGAAAAGGTAGTTCCTGCAGAATCTTTAATGGATAAAATCTGCTGCTTTCTCCTTCTAATATTAACATAAGAATGATAAAACTGAGTATTAGCATCCCCCTCTTTTAACCACTTGATGTGTGCCTTTTGTTTCCAGAAAATTTTTTCCTGTTTGAGCTTAGAAAGGAGTAGGGCCTGCTTATAGGACCAGTCATCTCTGTGTTCCTCAGAAGGGTCAGCTTCAAAAAGATTTTCAGCTTGTAAAACCTCCTCTTCCAGCTTTTTGATATCCAGAAAAACATTTCCAAAGATATTTTTATTCCATTTCTTTAAATCTAATTTCAGAGAGTGGAGTTTATCATATAAACCCCTCATCCCACCACCTCCATAAGGAGCAGAATTCCACGAGTGCTTAACCACCTCCAGAAAATTTGGATGAGTAACCCACATATTCTTAAATCTGAAAGATTTAGGGCCTTGTAATAACCTCTGATTGTTACATTGCAGGAGAATGGGATTATGATCAGATGAAGCTTTGTTCAGATGGTTAATTTGTATGGAGTCAAAAAGATTCAAGAAAGAAGAGTTAAACAGAATCCTGTCTAATCTACGCCAGACTCTGCCATTGCTCCTGATACCAGACCATGTATGAGAGCTACCTTTAAAAGGTAATTCAATCAAGTCACAACTAGCAATACAGTCTTTAAACTCTGTCATACTTACTAAGGAAGGGGTAGATGAACCTTTATGCTCTGAATGGTTAATAATGGCATTGAAATCGCCACCTACCATCCACGATTCTGAATTAAAAGCCGCCCAGTTAGTCAAAAAAGACCATAATCCCCTTCTATGTATATAGCTGTGTGCACCGTAAATAGAAGTAAACCAGAAAGTAGATGTAGATGTGGCGATCTTCATATGAATGTATTGCTCACCCCAAGTAAAATCAGAAATATCCATCAAAGCCGAATCCCAAAACAACCATATCTTATTATCTGGGCAACTGAAAAATTTATCAAGTCCTAGCTCCAAAGAAAAAGAGGAAATTTTTGAAAAATCAACAATAGGTTCAATAACTGTAAGCAAATGGATTCTCCACTGTCTAATAAGATCACGTAACCTTGGACAGGAAGAAACAAGGCCACGTACATTCCAAATAAGGCAATTCATGGTTGATGGGAAGAGAAAGCTAGTGACAGCTTTTTAGCTGCATGTCTGGTAAGTCTGGGGCTTTCAGGGGCAACCTGGCTAGGCTGTCTTTTCTTTTTCCTTGCCACTTTTATAAAACCATCATCAATATCTTGCCTATCTATATCAGGTTGTTGTTTGTTTAGTACTGCCAGAATAGTCTCATCAGAGATGTTTGCTGCAGGTTTCTTGTTTAACAGAGTACAAACCTTCCTTGTCAATTCAGATTGTCCTTCTTTCCACTTGCTTAGACTATCAAGAAAACAAAAATCACCATCAGAAGAATATCCTTTAGCCGATAAGGTGGGATCATACTGCTCCCTCTGGGTGATTTTTAGTACGTGATAATCATCAGCTGCTCTCTCACCTACTGGTAGTGTGGGATTAGCATTGATGTCTTGTACAGGTGCATCATTGATTAAGACAATGGAATCAGTAGCTTTGGGCTCACTATCCTTTTGTATGTTGGTAACAGGTGAAGCATCAACTGGAACCAGAGCCTCAGTGTAAACTTCTTCAATATCGGAGTCCTCTACATCAGTAAAATGAACCTTTGAAGTCGAAGGATAACTGTCCAGGATCTTAGATATGGATGGCGGACACACAACTGCTCTGGCTTTTCCTTTATCTATAGTACCCTTGTTCCCTTGCTTCCCGTCTGTAATTTGTTTGTCGCCATGTTCTTCTCGCTTTTTTACAATCCATTTTTCTTTCACCTCTGGATCAACAGTCACAGGTCGCTTAGGGCAAGCTGCCCCAGAATGACCTAAATGCAAACACTTAACACAGTACAGAGGTCGATTTTCATAAATAACTGGTTGTGAAAAACCTTGAGATCCACACTGGATCCACACTTTATTTGGCATCTCCTTAGTGAGGTCAAGTTCTACGCATACTCTAGCCACAGATGGCCTGGCCAGAGATGCAGTAGCCGCATCAATTTTCAACGGCCTACCAATCAATCCAGCGATATCAAATAAAGCACGTTTATCATGCAGATGAATAGGTAAGCTTTCAAAACTTAACCAAATGGGAACCACAGGGGATTCCACATTTGGTCTAAAGTCCGGTGTCCACTTTGTTACACGCATCACACTACCAAAAATATCCCAAATTTGACGGTTCCAGCAACGGATGTAATCATCCTCCAAATCAAATCTAATTAAAATGTGTTTTTTCTCAAGAAGCCCTAATTGGAATCTACCTTTAAAACCAATCAATTCAAAAGCTTTCCTCAATGAGGTCATAGATGGACGTCCTGTAAAGAAATATCCAACTAGATAATCCCGTTTATGTTTTGAAGCAAGATGTTGAAACTCCTCCTCCGGGAAGGTAACTGCTGGCTGCCCTTTGAAACGGGATGGAGTCTTTTTCGACCAGGAGAATTCATGTGAATCTGCAGCAACCACAGAAGCAAAGGATCTACCGCTCCACGCCTTCGCCTGAGGCAGAGAGGGAGGCGCCACCCCCTCTGCGGCCGTGATCTTGGTCATCAATCGCAAAGTTCAAAAATCGCCAGAGCCTCTATCGGAGGTCTCGTCTCCCCACTTTCCACCTCAATAATCAATATGTGTAGGATCATCCCAATAATTTACATGATGAATATTATAGAAGAAACAACCTACTCCCATTATTTAGATCAATAATGTCAAAGATGGGACCATAGGTGTTTGTATTCTTCCCAAATCATCCTATCACTTATTTTGACATTATCATTCGTATTATTGGACTACTAGCCGTGTGGGTTACCCTCAAGTGGGCTATGGGCGCCACTCTTGAATCCTTACTTTTTTTTAGCACATTGGGCCCAAAATGATGTTTGGGCCGCCCGACCTTCCTTAGTTTGCATCAAAAAGTTATGTATCATTATTTAGATAAGTTGGGCTCTTATATTTATTTAGATGGCCCAAATAAGTATTTGAAGGCCCATCATTAATATACGAGCTCAAACGGTAAAATAATCAAACACGCATTACACGAATCATTAATCGTTTTGCACTTGTTCGACAATAGGAAGTTTAATACATAACTTTGAATTTTAAATTGAATTTCAAGGACGTTTGGGTGCGGTGTCACATCCTCGAAGTTCCTCTATCATGTCACACACATCTTCCGAACCAAGTATTATCTTCATAAGAATACTCCAATTATCATAGTTCTCCTTTTTAGTGAAGGAACTTGAAGGGAACCGACCATTTTTGGGTAATGACCGAACCTGGCTCTGATACCACTGTTGGAAATAAGTGAAGGAAGGTATGGGATACTGAGAGGCTAAATTTGAAATAGTATGGAAGAGATATTTGGACAAAGGGGAAGAACTCTTTTTTATTTGAACAATTCAAATTAGCTTGATTGCTTGATACAAAGTGGTGGTAGAAGGTCTCTATTTATACGAATAAGAACGTATTCTAGACTATACTAGATTCTCACCCGTGCGATGCACGGGACAAAAATCGGTATCACAATATCATATTTATTATATTAACATTAGTGATAAGTCCGTATTTAGACACGCATTTGATGCGTGTTGGGGTCGTATTTTGATGGTTTTTCTGGATTTAAGGCGTTGCAAGTCTCAATTTTAGCTCAAGTTGTGTTTAGCAGGCGTTGGATCGAGTTTCATTGCATTTGGAGTTGATTTGAAGAAGTTAGAGTCCGGCAATCGGCGCTTGAGAGGCATTCGGGAAGGATTTGAAGGCATTCGAGAAAGATTTGGAAGATTTGGAGGTCACCGGAAGATTCACGATGAAGATTTGAAGGAAAAAGAGCTCTAGGATTGGCTACGAGGTCAAAAGAACATGAATGAAGCTTAGAAACGACGATCAGGATGACCTTCTGTCAATCGTTCAAGCATATCTCTTTGTAGAAACATCCAATGTACACGATTCAAGTTCCATATGAAATCGAACTTCAAGGGCTACAAATCATATGAAGACACCTTTGCGAGAATATGAGAGGAAGAAGGTGAAAACAGATGATGAAGTCAGATGATCTCTGCTGCGATTTCAGAAAGACACCTTCCACCGTTTTGATCATATCTCTTGATTGGATGATTCAAATCACATTCTTCAAATTGCGGTGGATAGATAACTTCATTATCTACAACTTTCATGAAGGAAGTTTTGCCAAATTAGGAAGTTAACTAGGCACGATCGCGCCCTCAAAGTCAGGAACGATCGTGCGTGAAGAGAAAGCACCGCGGAGTTACTGCCAGCCAGGCACGATCGTGCCTGGAGGGAGGCACGATCGTGCCTGGAGGGAGGCACGATCGTGCCTGCCCAAAATGCGCGTTTTTGCTCCGGAGGCACGATCGAAGTCACGATCGTGCCTGGCATCGTGTTTGGCTCCAAAAATCCTAATTCAGCTCAAATTTCACCCGATTTTTCTATTTAAACAGCCTGTAAACCCCCGTTTTCAAAGGGGGGGGCTTAGAGAGAGTGCCTAGCACGAATTTTAGAGGGATTTTCAGCCTTGTTCATCAATCTTTTGGGATTCTTTGTAAGTTCCATCTTTTTAATTAATGACAATTACTTTTATTCTTCCCAATTCTATTGATTCTTCAATTATGAATTGTGAGTAGTTTTAATTAGGGATTTGGGATTGATGAAGGGGTTAATCATGATGTATGGCTAGATTCTTTTCGGTTTAATTGTATGAATGCCGTTTAATTTGTGTTTGAATAATTTAATTGATATCTTTTGTAACCTAGAATCGCGACTAGAATTACAATTGCATGTAGAATAAATTAAGAGAGATCTAATTTGTTCTAGGACACATTCACACACACTTAATCGTTCGCTAAGAGATTAGTAGCGATTAAGGGGCCGTAAGCTGGCTCGTCTTGGCAATAATTTAGGATCCTGTCGCATGAGAGATCAACCTGGTCCCCTAAAGTATTGTACTCTACGCCGCGAGAGCGGTAAGAACTTAGTAATGATTAGCTAGGCTCAATTAAATTAATTTCATGTAATTAGGCCTGATCTGCCAGAAATCTGGTTACCCCGGAATCGATCCCTGTTCCCTTCGTCACTAATTAGAAAGAACCCCCTAGTTTAATTGTTCGCATTAGTTTTATTTTCCAAACCAACCAATCTCGCACGACGCTTTTATTTTATTTTCTTTTTAATCGCTGAATTTATTTAATTCTTGATTCCCTTTTGTCCGTCCCTGTGGAGACGATACTCGTACTTACACCACTATATTATGATCTATTTTAAGTGCGAGAAAACTTACATCAATTAGTATCAAAGTTTTAATAATAACAATGTGTAAATGTATGAACATAGAATACCAAGTATTATGTAATAAAGGTTATAATTACTAAGAGTTATTATAACCTAAAGTGTTTTGGAAGAAGATAAATGTATGAAAGTAGAAATGAGGTATTAAAACTCATTTGGTAATATTCAAACCGACTACATTAGCTGATTCTACTGAATTATGAAAAAAAAGATATTCTATTATTAGTAAAATAAAGAAA